GGCAGTAGATGTCGTAGGGGTGACCACAGAATTCATGAAGTTATTCTAAGAACTGGCTGGTATGTAGTGCACGAAAGCAGAGCTTAGCTGGCTCAAAAAAAATATTTATGGTCATCCCTCGAAACGACCACCAAGGTCAGTACGATAAAATGGCGTCAACTGGAGCGATAATACATGAAGGAATGAGTTCTTTTCCCCCCACACACACACCAGTATCGTCATAGGGGGTGACCACAGTGTTCTGCCTTAATTCGTGACGTTTTTCTAAGAACTGGATGCTAAGTACTGTGCGAAATCAATCGATCTTGCAAGAATAAATTTTTGGACATCCCTCTTCTAAGAATTCCAATTGAGTGTGTTAGTGTGGCCAGCTCAGGGCAATATGATATTATAAACACAGCACATATCAGGTCTCTGCTGTTTATAACTTCATAGGAAAGAAAACATGCCATTCATAACAGTTTGAATGAGGAAACCTCTCCCAAGAGCAACAGGAATTTTGCTGCAAGACAGGCATATGTAACGATGACTTAGCGCAGCTAAACTCGTGTCTCATTATATATAGTTCTTGTGACAACAGGCCATGCGAAAAATCTAACAATCTACAGCAAAACCATCAATTATTATGGGCGTTATAACATAGGTGTGCAGCTGGACGAAACAAAGACGTCGAACCCCCGCAGACGATTTAAATACCTGATGAAACATACACGTCAAACCACACTGAACGGTTAACAAATCACTGGTCATGTGCAAGGTCATTTTACTCACTCAGAGCAACCAGCTAGACACAGTCATTTGAACGAAGTTGTTTACAAAGAAAAAGAAAAGTCACAGTAAAATTTGAAACATCGTTATTTACTAAAGAAATAAATTGAATCATTTTGGGAGACATGATTAGACCCATGGTATACCAGAATCTGCGATATAGTGACGTGTGTTATAACAGAGTTTTACTGTATTATGGTGTGTCTATTTTCTCCATAAAGAATGTTGCTTCAAACATATCTCCACCAAATGGTAAAGCCTACTTTATCAATATATATGCATGGCATGTCCCTGCACTAGGGAAGAATATGTTCTTGAATATGTGTCTGTGTTGTGAAATTCTTCCAGGTTATAAATGCATTCCTACAGACATTTTTTCATGCCACATTTGTAAAATAAACACTATATTTTTAATATCCTATTTTGAGACATGTTAAATAAAGGCTAACTGTCTAAACTAAGAAAGGAATAGCAACCACACTACTAGACATTTCCCTACATCATAGACACCTGTGCACAGGCTTGCCAGTGGCCACTTTCATATTGTATTACATGATCAATGTATGCATGTATGCAGTTTGAATTTCTTAGAAAATCATTTCTTAAATCATACTTAGGATAAATTTATTGTTGATTTTCATTTTGTATTAAGAAATATTTATATTGATCCGTATATTCTGTAAGGGAAAATTTATTTCCTATATCATGAATCTTTTGGTATAATGTTTTATTATTTTTGTAAGGGGAAAATTCATTAACCTTAATGTCCATAACATGGGGGTGCAATATATAAAAATTATGCATTGTGCAATTTTCTGACTTTGTTATTTCAACATAGAAATTTTTATAAATGATATAATATTGTCACGTGTTGTGTATGCCATGCGACAAATAACTTTACGTGGGTCTCGGATTCAGCGAATATTTATTGAGCACACGCGTTTACACACTCACGAGTACAATTATAATCCACTACTTCACTGTTATAATTACTTCTTATACCACTGATCTCGGTGAAGTCTTCTATTCCCTTTTTCGGATGCTAGCTGGTTTCTGCCCTGTTCAGAGCTACACTAAGAACTCGCCGACTGACTCCAGTGGGTGCTGGAACTTCACTGTTACTCCGGTGGCTGCTATATTTCAACTAACTATCTCGAACTCGAAGTCGAAGTCACATTGCGACTGACGGTCAGTCAGTCAGTAAATCTTGGTGTCGAGCCCCATCTGGGGCTCATGACCAGATATTTATTAATGTTTGACATTTACGGTCTTGCTTTTGTGGGGCGCCCTCTCTCCACACGGGTGTCGTTCATACGTCCACACGGGTTAACTGTCTCTTGTTGAAGGTGGGCTTTTATAACCTTGGTGGTTGCTATGCAAGAAACCTTCTGTTGTCATGCAACGCTTCAAGCAATTCATTACCTTTCATCTCCTAGGAAACGTGTTTATTTCCCTCAGGCAACGGCCCACTGTTATTACGTTGTCACTGTGGGAACTCTCCATGTATTTGTCATAACTGTGGAGACTCACTGTAGGCTATAAAGTTCCTATTGTGGCCGTTGCGCAGCGATGACCATAAGATAGCACGTTACAGTATCTATTTTCTCTGTATTTTAAGCACAGTCTGTACCAATCAGATACACAATATTCCAGTAATCAGATTTGTTTATGTTTTATTAGGACACTATCATGTGGTAGAATAAGGTCCATTAGAATTGTCACATGAATTTTCACCCTGCTTACCCATGAATATATAAGAGGGTTTGAAACATTCTTCTGTCAGTGTTTGAAATCTTGACATTCATATTTTTTAACCTTCAAGAACGAGGGAACTACACTGCTCCTTGCAGACATCTTTTCAACATGTTTTGGCTGGGAGTCAATCAAGAGCATCAGAGACACTTCATTCTCTGGAGGGACCCGGATTGATCCAAAATTTGTGAACAATCCAGAGCTGAGTGATGTGCAGTTTCGGGTGGAGGGCCAGGTATTTTATGGACACAAGATTGTGCTGGTGACATGGTCACCTCAGTTCCGGGCAATGCTCAGCTCCAAGGTCTGTGATGGGAACCCACCCATCGTTCATATCAACGACATCCGGTATCACATCTTTGAGGTAGGTTAGGTGACTATTCAGATGTGTGTAATAAACAGAGATTATAATTTTAGGATGAGACATTTGGTTGTATTCAGGTTCAGTCTTGTCAGGATGTGGAATGGAGCTGGAACCATGTGACATAATCCTCATCTGGAGTTAATTATGATGGTTTTTAAATTCTACATCCTGTTATGTTTAAAAGTGGTAAAATTAATCAATATTAAATTTACTTCAATAATCCTTGACACTTCCAAGGGAAAACACATGTTTCTCCCAGTCTAGCAATGTCACTTTTCATGGCAGCAGTTCATTACATTGTTTATGGAACCCTGTCACCACTTGGGCCATTGTTTGAGCAGTTCATTACATTGTTTATGGAACCCTGTCACCACTTGGGCCATTGTTTGGCCTGTGTATGGTTTCTTGTGCACCCACACTTACTATTAACTGCACTTCAACTGGATAACTGCTTGTATTGGCCATATTCACAACACAACTGACTCTCTTCATCTGTGACCTGCAAATGTGGACAACTGACGATGTTGCCACACATCACTCTTTTGTTTCACCAAATGACACACCTCTTTCAAATTTCACAGTATACTATGGCACACATGATAAATTAGGGGTATGGTGACTTCTCAGCCACCCTATGTAGTAAAATTTAAAGCTGTTAAAAATTTGATCCATATTTTCAATAAGGTATCTAAAAATAAATATGACTGACAATGCAATAATGAAGTTTCTAGTTAGTATTCTACATATAAGGTTGAAACATGTAGTGGTTTTAAATAGAATCATTAGCCATTATTGTATTTTTGTTGACATTTATTAAAGTAAATTTAATATTATAAATAATATTATAGTGATTGTAGAAGTTGGGTGAGCTGAAGTGGGAGGGAGCAGCCAGATAGAGTAAACTACTGCTTTTTCCTTTGTACCTCTCATCAACCTCTGTCCAACTTCTGACCACTATATAGGATTGTTCTGATGAAGGAAACAGTGCACATTAATCAGTAAATATGACTATAATGGAATCCAGTATGTGTGCATTAAAACAGATAAATAAAATACAACTAACAAATAAGGGCCCTAACATAAACTCAAATCATCAACACTGATCTTGGTGAAGTTCTTTTTACACATCGATCAAGTGATATAGTGTCAGACCACTAAAAGCACTGATAAAAGAGTAACCAGTTAAACACAGGCCACAATGCTTTGGGTTAGATGGGGGGCAGGGCTGGTGGATCAGTAGAAATAAACTAACATATCCACTGGAGTTGAGGTATAACTGAAAAAGCTGAAAAGCAGTTTAGATGAACAGGATTTCAAAAGCACAACTCACCTACAAGGGTCCAGGATGAATATTTTGAGCAACTGCCCTAACTGATTGCTAACCAAAATTTCTGGTTTAAAATCCAAGACATGAATAAACTAGACTTCTCCATGCAACCATATACGTAAAAGCTATGGGTAAAGGGAAGGGTAACAAAGAAAATTTCTGACTCAGTGAAGGGGAAGGCAACAGGCTGGCACAGAAAAATACATCTGCTAGGCCAGTGTGTATCGCTCAGAACAAGAAATATAGAATCAAATATTCTTGTAGGTTAATGAAATTTTTACATGAGTGATTTTTGAATAATTAAATTACATTGCCCGAATAGTTTTTTTTTTTTTAAATTTTGCATGAACTATTGCCTAGTGTTGTTCATCCTGCTTGCATGTCTACTTATTCAGTTTGATTTATTCCTTGGTGAACTATACAGCTGAATTTGGAAAGTGTTCAAACTTAATTTATTAAAATGAGTAACATTACAGTGTGCAAGTGTTGGATATTGTGCTAGGAGAGTTCATTGCAGATTATTATTCAGAGCAGTGAAATGTCTGATAATACAGGCTCTGTTTTGCAGAAAGTTAGTGAGGTCTTATCCCTTTGACATCCGTTCATCTTAACATATGGCACCTTACAAGATTCAGTATATATTTTTTAAATTTTATCTAATGTGTGTTTGTCTGATGGACTAAGGCAGCAGAAGATAATGTTCAGAGTCTTTATTTCAGGTCATGACAGATCACCACATGCCATTGCAATTTGTCCTTTAAAATTATACTCTGAGATTTGACTCATATATGATATGCCGAATGTCTCAGTCTCAGAGGGGATCTCAATGAATTAAATCTATAATACAGAACAATGTTCTGTAACTGTTCATAATCATTACCCTCTGTTGTGATAGTCTATGAAGCAGTACTGTGTGATGTTACAGTTACTAATGCTCTGCACCCTATTGTGACAGTTGTCAATATAATGCACTGCACTACCCTACATTTGGTAATGCAGAGTCTGTGTTGTTACAGTTGGTAATGCAGTACCTGTACAACGGTGGTTGTGAAACTCTACAGGTGGAGCAGTCAGACGTGCTAGAGCTAATGGCTGCTGCCAATTTCTTTCAGTTGAATGGCCTACTGCGTTACTGTGAGGCACAGTGCTCCAGCATGGTTGACCTCGACAATATCGTCTCCATGTACATACATGCCAAGGTATTGTAAATGGAAATTTGCTTTTTGTCAGTTTGCAGGCCAGCAACTGAGTTGGTCCTACATACGAAAAACAAAATTGGCTCCTCTACCCTATATTGACTGCTTGATGCTGCATAAGGTGAGCCAAGACAACTGCACATCCGCACTGAAGTATTTGTGTATTGGTGTCACTTTTTTTTTCCTTTCTTTTTATTGTTAGTGGGGTGGGACTAAGTCCCTTGTACTGCGGACACGTCTGGCCTACTGTACCAGCTCAAGATGATAGGTGAGGGTGATTGTGGAGCAATTGGTGGAATGAAGATTGGCAGGAGAAACCGAAGTACTTGGAGAAAACCTGCCCCAGCGCCACTTTGTCGACCACAAATCCCACTTGACCAGACTGTTGACACTCTTTTTTGTAGGTCTACAATGCAGGGGAGCTGCTCGAGTACTGCCAGGGGTTCTTGCTGCAGAATATGGTAGCCCTACTCACATACGATGATTCTGTCAAGCGACTGCTGTTTGGAAAAAAGCTGCATAGTCATGATGTGTTATCAGGCCTGCTCCTCACGCTACAGGCGCGTATCAAGGCCCGTAACCTGGCCCCCACCACTCGCTCAAACACCAAGCCCAAGTGAAAGTGCATGCACTTACATGGGTCACTGGTTTGAGTCTAAAGGCAGAGGAATATTAGAATTTCATCCGAGCACACTGGGTTTGTTGTGGAGTATGTATCCATACTTCCTTTCTGCGTAAGACATAATTCACAATAATAATGAATTTATAATAAGCAGGTAACATCAAGCAGTTTAATGTATTTTATTTCTTAATCAAAGTACAAGAAATTGTTTTTCTCACGAAACAGTGCAGAGGAAAGTTTGTTCCTTTTAACGTTACTACCAAGCCTAGAGCTAAAGGTTTTGTATTAATTACCTGAATATTTCATAAATACTGATTAATATTGTAACAGATATCTATGCCCAAAACATGAACAGATCTTGAAAATGAAATTATCGTCATGGGTTGGTGACTAGATACAGGGTTTGGATTTATAACTGAATTTATTGGACACTAATTGCTTGTACCTCCACGTAATTATGACACTTTTTTATTCTTCATAATCATCGAATAACTACTGCACTTTCCAGTCTGCTGTACTTTCTGTACTCATTGCTTGGTAACAGCCTCCAGTAACTGGGACTCTCTTTAATACTTCTGTACTGATCCATTTGTTTGGGCTAATTGCTGCTGGTCCTTGCCAGCAGTCATTGTTGGTTTTGTGTACCACAGGACTCATGACCATATTTTCCTGTCTTATGATTCTGGGATTCATGCAGCTGACTCTCTCCAGCTTCTGGTTTGTTGGGTACATTGCTGCTGGAACTTGCCAGCACAGCCATTCTTGGTTCATGGTCCTGCCAGACTTATGACCATAGTTTTCTGGCTCATGACTCTGGGAGTTGTGCAGTTACTCCAGGTTTGGTTTGGGTAAATTGCTGTTGGCCCTTACCAGCAGTCATTCATGGTTCATGGTCCTGCCAGATTTATGACCATAGTTCTGTGGCTCATGACTCTGGGAGCTGTACAGTTACTCCAGGTTTGGTTTGGGTAAATTGCTGTTGGCCCTCACCAGCACAGTCATTCATGGTTCTGGGTCCTGCCAGACTTATGACTATTGTGACATGACACCTGAATGCAAGAATAGTGGAGTCAGATGAAAATTGATTTCCTAGACAATGAGCATTAACAGAGCATGTTCCTGTGAAAATGGTTTACCATGGGATTATTATACATGCACTTCCATGAAAACACTCAACAAGGCATAGAGGTTACTGCAGAGCTGGAGGCATTCCCATGGTATTGTGAAATACACTCTTACTCTGGGTTTTGATGGAGCTATTGGAGAAATATCCATGGTAAGGACATTCTAAACAGACTGTTACAATGGATATGACAAATACAACTCTTCAAGGAGGTGTTTCCATGGTAAAGCATGCTTAGGTAGACAGTTACTGCAGATACGAAATACGGAACTGGTCGACTTGGTATCCCCTATTCGGTTTTCCAAGCAGATATGAAACAGAATGCATTAGTGAAGTCCAGAGTTCAGAATTGAAGGCAGAGCTCAGAAGTGAAGTCAAGAGTTCTGAATTGAAGGAAGTGGCTTAGGGACTGGAATCTGGCCGCAAAGTGCCACCAGAATCTGAAGAAAAGGACCCAGGGATATTGTGAATGCCAGAAGAGAATGACCATTGCTGGTAGGAGGATGACCGCCGTGCAGGAGTGGCACAGTGCAGGGGAGATTTTGTCAGGAAAGGTCAGACCGTGTTGCAAAAGAGGAGCCCCTAGAGAACAGATGCCCGGGAAGAGATGTTGAGTGGATCTGGAGGGTAGCATGAGAATAAAGGATCCAGGCACAAGACAGCAGCTGCATCTTAGGAATGAGAAGACAGCCGGCCAAATCTTCAGGAAGACCTTCAGACTGGAGAGTGCGAAGTGGATTGCCAGATATGCAGTTGGGTTGTGGACAAACGAGAATTGGGCACTATGGAGGGGTTGACCCCCTCCAAAACAGAAAGAGAAACTACACCCAGAGCAGGAGGTTGTAATGTGGAGGCACCGGCCACTTGCAATGGTTTAAACCCACTGCTTGAAAGGAAAAACTTTGGATGTGATGATGCACCTCGATAGACTCGAACCTTATGAAGGGAGCCACTTGGAACGAGTGCCCATAAGGAGGGAGCACTGGTTGGAGAGACGTCACAGAAGAGAAAAAAGAAGAGCCATAGGAAGGACGGCAAGACTGACTGCAGATGTTACAAGCACAGCCCTTGAAAGGAAAGAAAGGTGATTTACTGTTGGGCTGTTCAGGATGAACTGCCTTAAGGAGGGAGCCATGTGACATGACACCTGAAAGCCAGAATAGTGGGGTCAGATCAAAGGTGATTTCCTAGGCAACGAGTATTAACAGAGCACATTCCCATGACAATGGTCTACCTTGGGATTATTATACATGCACTTCAATGAAAACCCTCGACTAGGCATATAGGTTACTGTGGAGCCAGAGGCATTCCCATGGTAACGACATTCCAAACAGACTGTTACCACAGACAAGACAAACAGAACTCTTCAAGAAAGTGTTTCCATAGTAATGTATGCTTAGGCAGACAGTTACTGCAGATACGAAATACGAAACTGTTCAACTTGGTGTCCCCTGTTCGGGACACCAAGCAGGCATAGAACAGAATGCATTCGTGGGAGAAAACACAGAAAGTGTGTGAACTGTTATAATTGGGTGTAATTGTGATACTGACATCAAATAAACCTAATCTTCAATCTAGAATCCACACTTATTAGTCACGCAACGCAAATGTCTGTCTCATAGCTCTGGGAGTAATGCAACTCAATCACGGTCCTTGTCTGCACAGTCATTCTTGGTTCTGAGTCCCAGAGGACTTGTTACCATATTTTACTGTCTCACGACTCTGGGCGTCATGCAACTCTCTTTCTGCAGTACTCCCAGTCTTGGTGGCCCTCTTACAGAGCTTTGACATGGACTGTAATAACACAACCTCCAGCAGTTACCATGCTACTGTGTGAACATTCGTTGTTGTGGAAACATGTCTTTAACAAGATGTTGCCTAGCAGTAGGCACCTGCATGATGCCTTGGTGATTCCAGTAATCTGGCTTTTAGACATCATGTCACATTATTTTAAAGGTAGATCCATCTGCCACCTTCACTGACAAGCCTAGTGGAACCTGCCTCATCAGTTCATTGGTAAGGTAGATGAATAGATGGTAGCAAATTGTGAGCAATGAAACTGTATATAAAAGTGTGGTAGTCCTCCTTCAACTCTTTATCAGGGAGATCAGTGCTACTGTCTCACACCTTAAGATCAACCACACTCACTTGACACACAGGCATTTTTGCCTGGAGAGCTGGCACCTATTTATATATCCTGTGGGGAACCACTTTACTGTCCTACGTATTTTAATTAAGCACCCAGTTTATGATGAACACTGTACCTTGCATCTTCGTGGCATATTTTATGACTTCCTTGGAGATGACAGTTGAAGTCTGTAAGATTTTAGCATTTGTTAACAGTGATGGACTTTCCAAGTTCATTTAATATTTAACCTTTATAATTTTGGAACAGGTGAATTAAATCCCCTGTAATACAGTGATACTGGATTTTAACTAATAGTGGTACGAGTACTGAAGTAATGTTCAATCTTTGGATCTGTTCCTAGTAAAATGTTCTAGTAGAAAAATTCTTTAAAAAAAATGCACTGCCAAATTTTATGGTGTTGTTATTTTCTATTATAAACATTGTTGTTTTACAGAAAGTTAAAAGAGTTCTAAAATAAGATACTGTATATATAAAGGAGGCACGCGTTAGTGCAGTTGGTTGAGGCATTATACTACAAGCTGGAAGGTCGCCGGTTCAAGTCCCGATGAGGTCATTGGATTTTCTTCAATTGACCTAATCCTTCCCGCCACACTATGGCCCTGGGGTCGACTCAGCCTCTAACAGAAATGAGTACCAGGAATATTTTTAAGATTACTTTTACATGGTAAATACAAAAACATGTTATCTGTAAACAAACCAGATTTGAGCTTCAAGCACATAAATTTAATTATTGCTTGTTTCTTTTTGGCTGAGACACTGTAAGTGCAGACACTCTTGCAGTTGACCAATGCATCAATCTTCAAGGCAGTCATCTGATGGGAAAATGATCCTCCCTTGCACTCATTTCCAACAGATCTTGCTACCACAGGATGATACATGTACAATGATGTAGCTACTCTGTACAGTTAGACCCAACAGGCAAAAAACTTTATTGTAGATTCTAAAGGGTTCTGATGATGGTGTGTAACACTCAGAATTATTGGGTTTTCAGACTTTGAGGCTAGCTCTTTCAAAGGGGCCCAATAGTGTGTCTCCCCCCCCCCACACATCTGAGGACTGAAACAGACCCAGTTTCTGAAACATTGTGCTTTCTAGTTTTTAGAATTCTGGACAATGGATGAAGTCCAAAAACCAATAATTCTGAAAAACTATTGTCCAACTAACTGAATACCTATTACCCATTCTGTCTCCTTTGTTAACATAATCTATGTGCTGCAGTCTTCAACAGTGACGGGGTTTGGAATTTCCCATGTTCATCGCTAAAGTTGCTACCTCCCATTCTTTTTGTTCACAGCAAAAGATCATTTCATTCTTTTATGTATGCCATGCACATATTTACTCAAGAATCATAAACATAATGCAAGCATAAAAATGATACGTCTGTATTCTGTTTGTTAACAGAAGAAAGAAAATGAGGGGGAAGGTTGCACTTACTTTGTCTATGCCAGTTCATGCTTGGAATTGTGGTAGCAAAAATGCACCATCATCATCTTCCACATTAAACCTCTTTCTCTGTTTAGCTGTTATTTGAGGCAGACTTGAAGATTTAAATTTAATACTTATATTGTGAAGAGCAGAAGGATTTGGGGGGAGGGGGAAAAAAGTTTGAAAGTCTTGGATATTACACAAACTTGCAAACCCAAAACTGAATCATCGGTAGAAGATATATTTCATTCTTACGTGATTTTGATAATTTGTTTTGTTAGGCTTCTGGTATGTCTTCAACTTGAAATGTGAACGGTGTTTAATCAAATGAACCAGTTTATTTGATATATCCAAAGAAAGCATGACAACTCTTCTCCGAACATGGCTGAATAATCTTTAATTTTGGACGGTAAATTTTTGTCCAGAGTTGCATTAGTTTATTTCTCTTCAAGATCAGCAAAATGAACTGGTAACATGTATACGTTATTTGAAATCCATAATTTCAATTTAATCTAGAATTTTTTTTTATATACATCAATGATATTTGAACTCTGTCCTTGCAGAGAAACAATCCCATTATCAATCCAAACATGTATAAAATGTCAAATATGTCATTTGATCTGATCTCAGTTCTCATCTTTGCTGAATAACATTTCAAATTCAGCTTTATCTGTTTGCAGAAAAATTCATACAGTTCTTCATATAGTGTTATACATACTTTAATACTTTCCTCTTTGACAACTATGTGGCCCCTGTCAGATGTTACTACTGTTCATACAGCATCTGTACACATAATGTGAACTCTGCAGATCAGCATATTTCATGTTACCATGTACTATGAAAGACAGTAGAGTGGCCAAAGTGTTCCTTTGTCTCCTGCAATGTGTTACTTTCATCTCTTTCATAACCTACTCTAAATGAACAGAAGCTCACAGACAACATTTCTTTACCATAGAACTATCAGACAATAAGTCCCATGCTGATTATGACTCCTCTGTTGAATACAATATAAAACATCACTTCCACAACACCAAAACAAATATAAAAGAAAGACCCAGGAATGTTGACTGGAATGGAAAATGAAAAACTACAGATTCATTCAAACTCCCACCACTGTAGGTGATGAATACACAACTTGACTGTGCAGTGGGTGTTTCAAAACGAATATAATGAGGGAAGCAAGATTCCTGTGCATTCAGTGTGGAGTTAGTTACTCTGAATTCTGAAGGCAGCTACACATAGTATCACAACAGCAGAGTCTACTAAAAGTAATGTAAAATTTTGATTTATCTTTTTCAGTACATGTAGATGGCAATAAATATTTTATACAATGAAGCTGAAGAAATTCATGATATCTGATTGACATTCTTTGAGATAGGGATTTACAAATTGCACCTGCAACAGCTGTCCTCAAATTACAAATTCTGGTGAGTCAAACTGAAATACAAGTTTGGGAGTTGATATATTTCTTGATATAATAATTTTAAAATATTAGTATTTATACATACNGTTGTTAAGTGATTATAATGTTGGTTAGTATCAGTTCAGTATGATCATACTTTACATGAAACTCAAATCAAGAAAGTTGGTCCATCACATAAAATATAGATAACATTAAGATTTACAAATTTTATTTACATATATATGTAAATATGATGTATATTTAATGAAACACAGTGATGAATAATTTCTTACTCTTTGCACATTGGTATCTGTAGTATGGCAAGTTTTGCAACAGTACATTTGTTTCTGCAGTGAAGGGATAGTGAAGCCTCACAAATCTTCACTGACTGTTATGAGGGAAAGAGGATGGTCTGGATTAGGAAATGAAAATCAAAAAAGGCCAATAAAATCATATTATTAAAACTACCATACTTGAACATTTAACCGTCATTTTTAGTCATATTTTATGATATCCAAACATAATTCAAAAGGCTTTACGCTTATTTGATGTGTAGGTCTTTCCACAGCAACCTACAGTTTTGTGGCACAAATGCCAACACTACTTGAACACTTATACATAAGGGCCTACCACTTGTACACTGCTCTTTCCAGATTTTTATTTGATGGCAGCTGTATAGTTTTTGACCTGGCATTTCATTATGGAATAAAATTTAAATTGGAAATTTCTTAATCTTTTACATTTTATCTCGTGTCACATGCAGTCTGTTTCTGAGTGCTAGTCTCTTCAGTGATCCTTATTCAAACATTAGCATCTGATGGAATTTTATCCATAATACTCAAAGTAACATGTTTCTGTTTCACTTCGCTTTTATTAGATACCAGTGTTCACACTTAACACACTTTTAGGGCACAAAAAAAAATAATTTCAGGATGATGCTGAGTGATATTTACAGTATGGATGTCAACAAACAATTGGGCGAACGTGATCATGTGGTATCAAGCTATGACTGATTGAATTGTGTTATTATCAGCACTGACAATTCAGATTAGCAAAGCTGTATTGTATATCAAGGCCAGTGAAGATTACACTCTTCTGTGACTTGACTCCATATAATTTAGTATGTAGGTACCAATGTTTTGGAAGAATTGGCTGCCTTAATCTTCAGAGCAGTAGAATGTATACTTCTGTGCTGCAGATTCAGGCAGGAGGTTCTTCCAAAACATTGGTACTTACCTACAAAAAGACTCGGTCTTTATACTCACTGTTGTGAGAAACTCAGATCTCTTAAGGCCAATGATTTGTATAAGAAAGCTTTTGAAAAATGTGTACTAAATTGGTATATCCATTTCCACACATTACTTTAGGCAGTTTTTGTACTTCTTTGTAGAATGTAATACAGTGGGGCCTGCTTAAGAGGTTCACGTTTAATATGATTTTCCATATAAGATCTCTAAATTGTTCGGTCTAAAAGAATTTCTCATAAGATGCAGTGTAGTTTTATTTAACCTGCATAATGTGTTCTGTGCATAAGAAAATTTTCCATATAAGAACCAGCATTTTTGTTACAAAACTAACATTTTCCAAACTTAATGTTTTTGGCAGTTTTATAACAAGTTGATTCATTGGCTATGGACAGCTTGGTTTCTGCTGGCTAGAACTTGTGTGAATCTGTATCAAAGTGTAAATTTATGGTCATCCATATGTGATGGCTTCTTCCACTTCCAGGCAGCAGAACTACCTTCCATTTTTATTTGCTATAAAGAATGAGCAATACAGCAGCTGCAACAATGGGAACTATATATTGATTGTTAACAAAGGAAAACTGGGTATAATCAGGAAAGTGCATGTCTTTCAAATATGGAATATGTACATACATAAGCTGTGTTAAGTGAAACGTTTTAGTTAACTATTGAAAGATGTCCGATTCTTCAACAATAGATCAGGGTATGTGCCTAACATTATAATTACTGTTTACCTTTCAATAAATAGGAATTATATAATGATTTGAATGGTATTTTAATGCATTTAACAATTAATATGTACCATGTAACTGCAACAGAACAAGTATGATTAGAATTTTGTTATAGCAACAATATAATTGGCACCATCAGTTTCTTAACCTTACATATATATAAAAACCTTGCGTAAAATAAGATCTCTTTGCTAGCACTTTCACTATTACAAGTGATTCCTAACTAGCCATGACTTTATACATTTTTGCACCAACTGTACTTGCAGTTTTGTTTTGCAAACACATTTAGAGCATACATTCCATAAAGATAACTTTATAAACAATCTCCTCGGCTTCTTCCCTGTCTAGGAGAAGAAAGTCTACATTTCAGATTATGCAGACTACTGTGTGCAGATTTTTAAAATGTCTAATTAGAAAATGTACTTGATCTTGAGACAGAAGTGCTTTGCATGTGTGCACACAGCCAATCTAAACTGAAAAAAAAAAGTATTCCTGTAAGAGGCTGTGGTGGCCCATAGCATTGTGACATGTTGAGGTTCCCACATTTTCTAGACAATTAGCTTATAGATGGCAGCAAGGTTGTCAGCCCTGCATGTTGGCCGTCCTTTACCCCCAGGAATATTCCTGGACCCCTCCAAATGTTACACAGTTGGAGCAGGAAAAGATGATTTTAGAATTGCATTTAACTAGCCTGACAACTTAAAGACTGAATAACCTCAACATTTTAGCCAATGAGAAATATCCATTGTATGACATCATCTGCAATTTTTTGTCCAGTAGTGTGTTTCATGGTTAGTGAATAGGAACTCTAGCTTGAATACATTTCTGTGTAGTTGCAATTTGTCAAGTGGTGAAACAGGAAGCTCTAGACTGACTTCAACATCATTCACTGTTTTGAAAAACAAGGATGATTGGCTGTTCTGTGTGATTGAAGTTAACTGGCACAAACAAATGCATAATGCAGAGGATGAAGATTTGGAATCCATGCTGTTTAAGTGGTTTTGGCAGGATTAATTAATTACGATACCAGTTGATGGATAAATGACGAGACAAAAGCCAACCATTCTGCAGCACACTCAAAGACTGAGAACTTTCTGTCTTTTGAAGGAAAGCCTTGCCATTTCAAAACAAAAAAAAAAAGGCATATGTATGCACAAAATGTGTGGTAACTCTATTGTGTTTAGAACTAGCACATAACATTATGTATATATGTATAAGTTGTTCTGAGGTTGAGCACCATGGGCATGCACCAAAGAGCCGGTGTTTGCTTGTAAAAAAGCAACTTCAAATAAGCAACTGGTTGCAAGTACAAGAGGTTATGTAAGTACAAAAATATCTTTATAACATCTACGTTCAGATAATGCTAAATACAATCAGAATGTTGAATTATACTTCATTATTTTCATATATCTGTGATAACCACTTCGAAAAAAAAAATAGATATTGCCATACCATGTTTATTATTTTAAATTTTAGTGCCATATTGTTATACAGTGGATTCACATCATGTGCATATTTCATTTGCATGAATTCAACAATTTGTGCTTGGAAAATTTAAAAACAAAAGGTATCCAGGATGAATGGTGAGCGTTTATGTTTACTGTCCTTGTTTATTCTTTTGTTGTTCCATCTCTGTCTCTAGTTTTATGTAATTTAAAATAAAATTACTGTACATTTTACCTTTATATATATTTTTTATTATATACATTATACACACACACACACACACATTACAAGGTATAGACAAAAGCATGTATTTTATAAGAGATTTAAGGGATTTTCAAGGGTAATTCTGATTATGTGATTTTTGGGTTTATGTGCCAGCTTTAGAATGTAACCCTGACATGAGATGACTCCACTGTATACCTAATTAGAAACTAGACTTGAATATTATGTATTTATATTATTTTTAGACATTATGAGTACATGCTAGATGAAGCATTTTTATGAATTTTATAAATTATTGTTAAATCAGGGTTTCACTGTATTAGGAATATTTGTATTTGGGGCTAAAATGAGTTTTTTTAACATACTTGTTCAAGATGTTTTCCCATATAAGATGATATTTCTGGTTCCTTGGAAAACTTCTTTAAAGAGTGTTCCACTATGTTGCTTTATATCTTTATATTTAAATATATTATTCCAGCAGACCTGTCTTAAATATCTCAGTTTGCCACTTAGTAATTGTGTACAGTCTGTGAAATGAAAAAAGAAAGGCTGGCATAATGAACATAATAATAACAGTACAAGCACATCCTATATATAACCATAGGGCCGGCACGTAGCTCAAGCGGTTAGTCACTGGCTTCCCACTGCGGCGGCCCAGGTTCAATCCTGGGTCTGGTCAAGTGGGATCTGTGGACAAAGTGGCGTTGGGGCAGGTTTTCTCTGAGTACTTCGGTTTCCCCTGTCAATCTTCATTCCACCAAATTCTCCATCATCATAATCACCCAAGGCAGGTACAATAGGCCCATCAGTGGCCACCGTGCCGAGTGGACCCAGTTGGATTCCACCCCCCACTAAGCGAATTAAAAAATACATATAACCATTCTTTTTATACAAATGTTGGCAGTGATAACCACATGATAACCTTTGCTCAAATTAGCATTTTGGGTAGGTTGACATAGGCTAGAGGGGGCTGGAGGGAAATATAACAATAAGCAGAAAGCTGACTCCTCAAGCACCTTCATCTCCACCAACCATGAGACTTCTATCCTTGACGTCAGTACTGTGCCTGGAGCTTGTCTACATGTCCACCATACCTCTTCAGGGTGTACTGCTTAGGCATGGGAACAACTTTACCAGAAGAAAATCTCTGAAACTTGAGTCTATGATGTTCAGTCAAGAAAGATTACATAAACACAATCCATCTTCGGGCATTGAACACGTTAATTTTCGAATTGTGGAATCTGAAAAATTGATTGTAGTTGAAGCCCACTTAACATAAGCTAAGGAACTGAAATTAGTAGACACCAATCCATATCAAAATCTCAACTGTTAACATTCCTCTAAATATTAACCAACATTCATATCTCTGTCAAATGAAACAAAAGTCTCATAGGATGTAAAGCTCACAAGCAAGGTACATAAACATCATCTGAATAAGGTATAGCCATTGTATGTTATATTGAAAGAAAATACATATTCCAAGAAAATTCTGTCATTTTGAATCCATACAAAATTAATAAGATGATAATAGGCCCATCCCAACGAACTGCTACCTCTTGAGTTGTGTTACAATGATTACAGTGAGAATTATCCCAATGAGCACAGCCACAGCTATCAGGAAGCACATCTTCTTGCGGTGTGAAATCTGAAAAGAAAAAAGGAATTCATTTCAATTGCAAGGTATTAAAACATATTTGTTCTCAGGTCCTCCTGGTGTCACATAGTTACCCCTCAGAAGCAAGGGTTGTCACTGGGGTGAATGGGGTCTTGCCTTCTCATCCCAATGTTTGGCCCCTCCTCTGCTCTGTGACACATTTTCTCATCTACCTTTTTTATACAACCCAACGCTTTCCAACTTATCTCACTTCTACCCTGAAGATGGAGGCACTATGTTCCTCCAAAAAAATTGATACTTATTGGCCAGACAACATGGTGCAATAACACAGAAGATCTCAATATGAAACTTTCATTTGTACTTCAGTACTGAAAATTTGTGTTTGCAAGAACAGCCACAGTAACAATAATGGAAAGGATGTACACCATACCAAAGTACACAGAATTACCAATGGCATTCTTTGAAGCTTATTAAACATTTTTCAAAATAAAAATTTGTTAAAAGTCTCCAATATCAAATGTCAGCAAAATATGTGGAATATGTGTATAAACAGCATATTTAAGTGAAAGTCTTCCATATTCAATTTTATGAAAATCTGTCCAAAGATTTAGTCACTGATACTAGGTTACACCCAGTCAGACATGACTTCCACATAAGGCATTATTTTTAATTTTGTAAAGAAAGCCTAAAAATGAGTCTGGCTGAAGACTGTCTTTGCTGATGGTAACAAATATCTGGGTGACATAACAGCAGGGCATTGTTTGCATAGTGAGTCCTCAGGGACTGGACCTGCTGTGTACAATATGCTACACTGTTTTCAATTACTTACATACTGATAAATCTGTGAGGTATATTTTGCTATCAGTGAACATAAAAACTGAATTTTCAATGACACATAATCCTATTTTGCTTCTATCATGAAACCATGCCTTTTGGACAAGTGTTCATTTTTCTGCTGCTTTATGGTAATTATCTCAGAATCTGGTACAACTAAAGAAAAGAATACATTAAAAAAACTTTTGTAGTAGACTGAAATTTTACATTCTGGCATTAATAGGATTTATTGTTTCCTACTGTTTTTCATAAGATCTGAGTGGGAGGATTACATTCATTCTCATGTGATTAGATTGTGGTCTTCTGGGTTATGATGCTGTGTCATCTCATAGGTAGTTACAAACATGCTGGAGGCAGCAAGTTCTTCCATAACACAGGTAACCAAGTACAGGGCTACTATAAATGATTCTTTCATTTTCAAAACACTATATTTTCCAAAGCATTACACGTACGAATATGATTGATATATAAAAAGAACTGTAAACTCGCCAAGTTTTCTTCACACTCTACAAATGTTCTATGTGNTGTGGTCAGAGTCAATGTCTGCCCCAGGAAGCGTCTTCACATCCTTCACACTGTTTCTGAATCGATGTTTCACAAGGATGTAGTCCAGCTGATGCCTCTTCCAATCCCCAGGTGCCTTCCATGTGTAAATTCTTCTCTTTGGCTTCTTGAACCAAGTGTTGGTAACAATCAATCAAAATATAGCGCTTTAAAAACGAATGAATCATTGATAGTAGCCCTGTATTACAAACCTATATTGTGTCATAATAACCCAGAAAGGCACAATTTGGACATTGTCAGTTTTCACAAGAAACAACTGGCTGAAGCAGCCTGTTGGAAAGTGGCATTACCTGGTACTCTGATGCTTTCTGCAGTTCTTGGTGACCAAGTTCTACATTCCCATGCACATTCTCAATGTTGTTCTCAATGGAGTCTATAACAAAGACAATTCTCCTACAGTACATCCCTTGTTTGTGTCATGCTGGTAGTTTCTGACATGGAAAGATAGTATGGTTTGAAATTTTCACATACAAATACTGAGGTCTGTGGCAATGGACCATAATGGTCTAAGTGTAAGTTGATTTTGGAACTAAGGCTGGCAATGCAAGTTTCTTTCTCTCACTTCTAACAAAGGAAAAAATTTTAATATGAAGAGTACACATACCAGGCCCCCTTTGTGGTTTTCCACCTTAAACTGTAGGCCACCCTCACCATTACCATTCTATCAGAATCTGCCTCATAGGTGTCCCTTTCTAACAACTAGGTTCCTCGTGAAGGCAAAGAGACACCAGAAAGGTTAAGAGGAACATAACTGTATGTATTAGCCTTGAAACAATCAAACAGTACATGATTTACTGTTGAACAAAATATGCTAAAGGGATAAAAGACCAGTCCCTAAAAACTAGAGGTATGAAACTATTTACATGTCATAACAAATGTTTAGTAGGCAAACAAATCTGTGACACTTCACACAAGTCTGTCAGTGTAGTTTATTCTTTTATGGATGATTTAAATACTGTATGACCTGCAGAGGCCATTTAGAATTGAATAGATGGGGAAGAAAACAGTTGTGGCTTGTTTTGCAAATTTCCTCTGGATGGACAGAAACCTCACAACTGATTCTTTAAAATTAGGTTCCAAACAGGCAGCTCATTAATATGATCTGTTCAGTCTGGAGATGCCTTAATGGATAAGAAAAAGTTCCTGAAATTTGGGTTATACATGTAAACTGTATTAAGTTCATTGAGATCAGCTCCACTTACTAATAATGTCACCCTGATCATGTACCATGGCTCCTAAGTCCCTCATGATTAAGTTCCTGAAATTTGGGTTATACATGTAAACTGTATTAAGTTCATTGAGATCAGCTCCACTTACTAATAATGTCACCCTGATCATGTACCATGGCTCCTAAGTCCCTCATGATTAAGTTCCTGAAATTTGGGTTATACATGTAAACTGTATTAAGTTCATTGAGATCAGCTCCACTTACTAATAATGTCACCCTGATCATGTACCATGGCTCCTAAGTCCCTCATGATTTCATTTACATCCAGAATGTTGCTCTCAATCTGTCGTATCCTCTGTTCACGTTCCAACAGCATTTCTTGTTCAAATTCAATTTCCCTCTGCAGAGACTTCTGAGCTGCAATTTTCTCTGCCTCTTCAGTGAGTCTTTGTTCTTCATCAGCATCTTCATCACAGTATTCACTTGTCACTTCCAGTGTCTGCCTTGACAGCAAATGCATTTTCATCTTCTCCGCAACTTGCTGTGAAAGAGCAGTCAAAACAAAACTTCAGTGTAACCAAGCTTGGAAAATATTTTCGTTTGTCTCTATAATTTCCTTCCTGTGATTTGTTCCAAGGCTTATGGAAATTATGCATGTTATGATGCTTATGGGGGCACGCAGTAGCGTAGTTGGTTGAGACACTATGCTACAAGCTGGAAGTTCAAGGGTTCGAGTCCCAATGAGGTGGATTTTTTTCAGTTTACCTAATCCTTCCAGCGGTACTATGGCCTTGGCATCGACTCAACTCTAACAGAAATGAGTAAAATCTTCCTGGGGGGGGGGGGGTTAAGGGNAGCTGACAACCTTTCCACCATCTGTGAGCTGACTGTCTAGATGATGTGGGACCCTCAACATCTCGCAACCCTATGGGCCTCCATGGCCTGTTACAGGGATAGCTTTACCTATGATGCTTATGAATGGCAAACTGAAAGTGTGGCCCATTATAACCCTCTGTGTTCAGTTTGCTTTAGTGTATGTTGTCTCACAGTGTAAAAATGGAACATGCTGGCATCCACATACCAGACTATATGGGATCAACCCAGAAAGACACAATATTAATCTTCACTGTTGTGAAAACTTGAAATCCTATATTATCATGTCAGTTATGGGAAATTTGCTTCAGTGATACATTTATCACAGAATTCCACACATGGGAAGGAAAGGAACAAACCATATGCTACAATGTAAAAGTTCACATTGATTGCTAGCTCTATGTGAAATTCTGTAACTCTCAGGAAGTTTGCCTCTAATATCATATGCTAATCTGTATCAATATTCCATTACATTATACCAAGAAATATTTTTTTCTTATCAGGCACTGTTTCATATTGTGACAAGTGGTGAGTCTTATCTTTACTGTTCTTAAATAAGCAAAGTACCAACTCCTTCACACACTTTTCACAAACCAACTCATGGAGCCAAATCCTTCTTGAGAAGCCAACAATCAGTTACCCAATGGAATTCCTGCCTTTTATGGAACCCAAATGATCACTACCATATTCATAAGAGCTCCTCTTCACAGACAGATGATTCCAATGAGTATCATCCAATATCACTGCTTTTAAGATCGACTTGAATATTATCTTCCCGCCTATACCTAGGTCTTCCATTTCTTCCCTTCAGGTTTTCTGATAAAATATTGTGTTTCCCATCTCTTATATATATGATACACACCTTCCCTATTTAACCCACCCTGATTTGATTATTTTAGCAGTATTCAGTATAGAGTACAAATCCTCCTCATTATACAACTTTCTGCAACCTCCTGTCATATTCTCCTCAGACCTCTCAATCTGCACAGATTATATGTGAGCCTGCTCCAAACTGCTTCACTACCCAGCAGGATAGATGCAAACTCACAAATCTTTCTGCAAGACCCACATTATCAACAAGCCCAGAGACCAACAAATAAGAAACAAAAACCAACCAGATCATAACAGATGCCAGAAATGGTCCCTGCTGTAATGCAGACATTACTTTCACATCTACGTGTATATAATGTTAACACTCATGCACTAAAGTTTCCCTTTGGAAACATGGCAAACTTGGAACTTGAAACCTGTAATATTAAACCCCATATCCTGTGCAAAACACCAAAGGGACTGCCAAGGAATGTACAAACACAGCATTGATTTAATCTAATTTCTCTTCATGTGTTTAGACTGTTCTTTTTTCATACAATACTGACCACACATCATTAGATATTTATGATAGTATTGTTTTTTACATTTTACACTGTAACTTTCTGATATTGATGGCAGAATCTTCTAATTCTACATGTGAGTATTGCACGTAACACTCATTTCAATATGGTCTCATGTTGCATTTCAACACAAGAACTAATGCCACTGACTGAAAGCTTGCTGCTGCAGCAGAGGTTTAGGATTACAGTCAACAGACTCATAATGCAGAAGTTCACTCCAGTGTAGCTGTTCAAAGCTGTACTGGGATGTACACAGGCTTGTCAACTACACCACAAGTCTGAGCACACACGATGGGAATTGACACAATTAGTGCCTCTCCTGCTAAACAGACCAAATTATTTGAAGAAGCTCCTCAGATGATCTTCTTTAATATGAGAGATCTAGTTTCATATGTATATTTAAAAGCTAAGTTACCTAGCCAGTGACATATACTGGTATTGCCTTTATTCACTTTTGTGTACAGGATTGCTAAACATAACCAGTATGTCACACATGATACCATCTGAACAGAACAATTAAAATGGGAAATTAATGATCATTACTTGATCTCACTGACATCCACCACCCCTTATAACTATTACTTATTTTGAATGTTGATGCATGTCACTATTATAGAGTGAATAAATAAATAAATAATAAGATATGAAAAATTGTTCAATTAAAGTGAATTGTATTGTTTATATTATCTTTGTTTATATATCAAACTTTAATTAAAATACTTAAGTATTTTCTACCTTCTGAAGCCTGCTGTAACATTGTACTGCATCTTTGAAGTCACCTGTAAGTTTCTCAGCTTGAAGTTTCTGCTGCTTGTCACCCTTTCTAACAACAACAGTCAACCGCTGAAGATCTTTTGCTGTCTGAGACACAATCTGGTTACAGCTCAGCTGTGTTACATGACTTTAGACAAATAAAACAATACACTTATTAGAATGTAACTATAGTAGTGTAATCCTAATGGCAACTGCATGCAAAAATTTTGAATGCTATATAGAAATTTTATTCAGTGAACAAGCAAGGATCTTACACTTTATCTCTCAATCCTTGGTTGTCTTTATCCGTTCCTATACTTTTAAGCGCCTGTTCCAAATTCTTCCAGCTTCTAATTACAGTGTTTATGTTCGTTGTAATGTTTTCACTTAAATTGTATAGCTCTGTGGGACTAAACTGCAGTCCAACATAACCAACATTTGGGACACTGTTTCCAGTGGCCCCGTAATTCTTCTGCCGTTCAAATCCTCCTGACATTTTCGTCGGGACTACTAAGTACAGTGATTTAAAAATCTCTATAACTTCGTCAAGATTCTCTTCAACACAAACTTATGCTAATAAATCTACTCCTTTCAAACAGTTTACTCATACGAATCTTCAGCTTTCTTTCGAACCCTATCTACATCATTTGACGGTAAACTAAGCAAGTATAACATTTAAACGAACAAATTAGTCATGAATGGAATTGTGACAACGCACTGTTGTTACGTCTCCTAACATCAGTGACTACGAATTGTAACCTCCTTCTACCATTTTGTATGAGATGACTTGACAGCCATCTGACGAGAAGTTTGTAATTCATATTTATTTTTTTAGTATCTTACGCACAATAGTGATGATAATGATCATAATGATCCTATGTAAGATTTGAGATTTTCACGGCGGTGACTACGAAGGAAGCAGTCTTCTGGGATGTGGCACCGTGTAGATGTGGTGTTAACCGACGTTTCGAGGAACGTATCGCCTCCATCTTCAGGGTAGAAGGAAAAATAAGATTTTGCGGATTTTCTTATTTTTTCTTCTACCCTGAAGATGGAGGCGATTCGTTCCTCCGAAACGTCGGTTAACACCACATGTACTCGGTGCCACATCCCAGAAGACTGCTTTCTTCAATAATGATCCTATTTCCTGACGTGCGTCTGTTCAAAACAGCGTTGGCATTGCAATATGACGAAAGTTTGTATGCATTAACTTTCACATTCTTTTAGACCAAAATTAATTCATTTTTAAAATGTTTTAAAGTGGCTGGTGTATACAATTGGAACTTTAAATATTTAAATATTCTGCACATATACTTTGACTTTAGTAGCGGAAGTTCTCGAACAATCCCGATAACTTCACGAGAACATCTGGTGGTAAGTGTGTGCATTGTATGTAGTTTTCTAATCAGTTTTTTCTTGGCTATAATGTACAAGGCTCTTTTGGTATAGAATCATATTAATCGATAATTAAGTTGCATTTTTTTTTGTTAATTGTTAGGGTTAGACTGTTAGTATGAAGAGGTATTACTTCTACAAACCCTTTCATCGCTTCGTAGTTACGTGCCATTGGTGATTCCTAATTATCGAGTAATTAATTTAGTGGGAAAAGTAACTTTATTTCAATGCTCAAAACAAAAACTGCCCAAGCTGCTCCCACAAAATTAGGTCGAATGTTTCAATCTGTCTACCAATTGTGCTTGAAGGTCATGTGTAGTGTTGAATCATGATGAGTAAAATGGAAGAGAAGCGTATGTGTGAGTGGAACATGCATTTGCAACCTGAGGAAAGTATTTATACGTATTAGAGCGAAATTTTAATTAGGCGCTTTGTTTGTGGGCTCACCAACACATCAGCGTAGCAATTAAAAAGTATGCCTCCAGAAAATAATAGGAATACACTTCGCATGCTTTTGTTACACAGGATCGAAACTGGAATTGTAAATCCTTGAGTCACATCATTTTTACATGGGAATTGAGAAAGGCGTGTGCGGGCATATCAGATATAGAGAACAAAAATCGCAAGGAAAATCCGTGGCAGTAATTATTAACGGGATTTTTAAACGACCCTCTCCACAAGATAAAAGGACAAGAGATTATTACACCAAATGTTAATAGAGTTTAAACTTTTTGCCATCAGTCCGGAGGGTTTCGAAGTTCACAGTACAGCAGAACCGTTCCATGCAGTTCCTGATTACAAGCACAAATTAATTATTGTTTTGTATAGTTCACTTGCGGACTAAAACCACAGTTTTTTTTGTTTCACCTTAAGTATTTTGACAGTTTTATGGATCATGGCTGTGGAAACAGTGATATGTTCAGTGTATTTTTCTTTTTGTATGTGAAGTACTTTTCATGGGGGAGGGAATTTAGTATCATGATTCACGCCATTAAACACTTCTCTCAAGCCAGTTCAGTAGTAACATCCACCTTGAGAGATGCTCAACAATGTGGCTTCCCACAGTTATTCACACAACACTGAAAACTCTGAACATTACATGAGAAATTTTATAAAATCATATTCCATAATTTTAATATTTTTACGTTTTAATTGCATAACTTCCAATTTTATTACCAAGGCTTTATCTTGTAATGTAATATCTTCCAACATATTATTCATCTACATTAAACATTACATGCTAATACTCCAATACAAATAATTTGTATACTCTTCAATATTTTAAGAAGGTTATTATTGTAATTCTTACACCTAACTTAGGCATAACTTTTGTAATATGGACATGTTGCTATGTATCCATATTTAGGAGTTCAGTAACTTTAGTTTAAGGTTCACAGTACTGCCTGATGATGGCCCCATGATGACTGAAACGTGCAGTGGTAGAAAATAAAATTCAGTCTGAATATTGATTGATTGTAAAACTATGTTTGTTTTTGACGGATACGTTACCTTGCCATATATATGTTTCTAAGAAACATGTTAATATTTTTTAATCTCTGTCTTTGAAGTGGCCACTTTCAAGGGATCAACTGTTCTTCCTTTCTCCTACCCATCCAAGCTGTTGTGGTTTCCTTGGTTTAGGTATTGTAAGAATCCTAGAAATGAAGCTAAGTCTATGTAATTTAATCCATAGATGTATATGATAATGAGCGGAAAATACATTATTTGGGTGCCATACCTAATGTATCATTTATTATCACTTGCCAACAGATGAAAAATGTAATGCACGATAGTAAGTGTATATTTATGAAAGTTCCATGGCCTGCACTTTCCGTGAAAGATGCATGAACAAGTATCCGTAACTATAGTAAACCACTGATGTCCAGCACTGTTTGCAAGCAAAGTGGAGCTCTGCACATAAACTGTAGAACATATTTGTTTTCAGCTTAGTAATGTAACTTTCATAAGTATTTCAATGGCTGTATATTTATTGCCACACTATTATTTATTTTCTCCAAGTGTAGGCAGCAAGTGCCAAAGAACTTTCTATTTTAAAACAGTGCCATAAGCCACTGAATTTCGCCAACAGCGCAAATTTCACAAAAACTTGAGAACTGTTGGCCCGGATAATAAGAAAATTTCCATGTGTTCAAAAAGGACACAGAAAGGTATTGAAAATTTGCTAGAAAGTTTTGGAACTAAAGTAGTAGTCTCAACAAGCTCAGAATATGACAAATAAAATGAAAACTTTAGCAGTTCTAAAATTGAGCAGACCCTTGTTGTTTGTGCCTTGAACAAGACTCTGAGTCAAGAATTGTGTATGTAAAGAGCCAGTTCTCTTTGTAGCAACAGCTGAAGGAAGAACATATGCATTACAGGCTGGCCTAATTAAAAGAGTGCAGCAATTCTCGCTGAGACTCTTTCAAAGAAAACTTTTGTTAATTCTATTTTTTTATTTTTAATTGTAAGTAGTATCATCAGTTCTACAATACATAATATGTATTTCCCATACTCAAAATTATATTGATCACAATCATCTGTATTGCTGGTTGGAAGTATGCACAATTATTAAAACAGTATAGAATATCATTGATTGTTAAATGATTATTTTTTAGCTTTCTGCTGTATATTGTTAGAACACAATAATCATTTTGTTCTGCAATTTTGTCAATAGCTGTATAATTGTTATAGGAATTACAGCAAGGTGTCCTGTGATGACTATTTTATTTTATGAGTTTTTCTTTACAAACCCTAGGAATGCAAATCAGTAGACATTCTGTTCTGTTTTATGTGAGTATACAAATTCTGCTCGAATTTGGTATAATAATTGTGTTAGTCTGTGCTTAGGAAAATGGCACAACTGTTTAGCAGTACTATGAAATTCAAATGGCTAACCAAGTAGAGAATGTGTTTCCAAAACTAAGATCATAAATAGTTCTTACATGAAACTGAGTTGCTTAAGCAGGCTTTGTTGCTGAAGTGGCATGAAATGGTCCTTGGTTCCAAAATGATGTTAACATGACTTCCTACCAGACTGGGGAATGTGAAATTTCTTTGTGTCCTGCTTTGCTTGCTGTCAGTTTGAAATGTTGAAGCCAGGTACAATTTCTGGTTACAGTTTATGTAGGAGACTTTATGTCATGATAGAAGTTGAGAACTAGCATGCACTTATTTTTGTTTTCTGTATTGAATTGTGCGATAATCATATTGCACACATTTTGGGGAAGCTCAGTTCATATGGTTGGCTGCTGAATGGAATGGCAGCTTAAATTTATTTCTGTACTATCTCTTAACACTCACATTCTGTGTATGTTACATGTGACAGCATTTACAGCCTTAATGATGTCTGTAGCCACCACAAGATTCATTGAGTGTCATCCACTCTTTGCACACTGCATTACATTTCAGAATTCACAAGAAAACTAAACAGTTTCTGGCAATCCGGATACCACTGTACATGCTCCTGGCATTGCATGTGTGTTGCTATAACTTTTTCTGCATTGAAAATCTGAATAAATCTTCACTCTTCAGTTTTAGTGCCCATATTGAGTGGGACAGCCACTGTTAATTTACTGCTATAAACAGCTAAGCCATCATACATTGTTTCCAAGCATAGTCACGTCTGTGATTTTCATTTGCTACATTTTTCATACTATGATCACTGCTAACACCTGATTCACTTTATCACGCAGATTGATATAGTAGTAATGCTCTAGATTTGTATTTGAGAGGTGCATGGTTCAAATCTCAGCTAGGACCACTATTGCCCTAACAGAAGGTTTTCGTTGTTTGCCTCATTCCTTTCAGACAAATGCCTGGATGTTACCTTGATTAGGTTTCCCTGCAAATACTGTATAACTAATTATTCACAAATCATCCAATCATCCGACAATGTACAGTCCAAGATACTGACAGATTTATAAAGAAAACCATAAAAACACAGATTCACTTTGCCATCGCAGTTGTTCGGATCCAATCTGAATTCATGGTGCAAATAATTCCACATTTACTTTGACACAGACTACGTCAGTCTTTTTGCACACCAGTCTTCTTGACGTGACTTGGTTCAATTTTAAGCTGTTCTGAGTGCTGACAGATGTAGAAAAAATTACCATCTTGACATTCATTAAGGCATGTTTTTGTATAGCTGGTCCTCAATGATGCTTAGACCAGAATGTTCTTCAGATTTTTAGTCATTATTTACAAAGCAAAATAAGCAAATGCTCTGTGTCTGTCTTTGACTTAATAGCAGTGCCTAAACAACTGGACAGATTTGCTTTGTAATTTGGCATTGATAGCTTTCACAAGAAGTTGTGCAGAATCCATTTTGAACCTCCTTCCTTAAGTAGGGTCTTAACAAACGTTTTATGCATATCAAACTGCTAAGAAACTTTGTTGAACTAATTTGATGTGAAAGATGTC